CGCGCGCACATTGCACGCAGAGGACTGAATGTTGACTCTGATGCTGGATTACCCTAGCGGGAAGAAACAAAGCCTCCGGCGGCGCTGAGCCTCAGCCCGGACTGCTCTGAACCCCAGTCCTGGACCAGACCCTGGGGACCCAGGCCCGGGCAGGGGGAGACGGGGCTGTGAGGCAGAATCCCAGAGGAGTGGCGAAAAGTGGAGCCCCCAGAGTCGCGCGCACTGCACGCAGAGGACAGTCTGTTGACTCTGATCCTAGACTCCCCTAGCGGGAAGAAGAAAAAAAAGAAAAAAGCTCCAGACTGGAGGAATGCAACAGGGAGCAGGAGCCCCTGCCAGACACCAGCCAGCCGGGCGCCGGCAGGGAGCGGGTGATGGGGCCCCCAGGGGTGGGGGGGTGCCCCTGAGCCTTCGACCTCTGAGTGCAGGCAACGGAGCCAAGGCCGGGGGCTGCTTCCTGGGCGGCGCCGACCCCGGCAACAGGCTGAAGCAGCACAGGAGCCCGTGGAGAACAAAGGGGTGCCACAGGCCAACCTGCTGAGCTCCCAGGACAAGGAGGAAGAAACCAAAGTTCTCAATGTGAAGAAATCAAGTGAGAGCAAAAGATAGTAAAATTACTTAAGAAAGAATACAAAGAAGATCTTGAAAAATCAAAGACTTAAGTCAGAACTCAACTCACCAGCCAACATTGCAACATAAATGCATTTAAAAAAAAAAAAAAAAAAAAAAAGGACAGAATGTTGGAACAGCGGTGGCCAGGCCTAGAGTGGCCAGGCACAAGGCAGTGGCAACTGGGCCTGGAGCAACAACAGCCAGGCCCCAGAGCCGCAGCAGCCAGAACCAAAGCAACAACAGCCAGCACTGGAGCAGCCAGACCTGGGGCAGTGGCAGCCAGGCCTGAGGCTGAGGCAGCCAAGCCCAGGGTGGCCAGTCCAGAAACACCCAGACCCGGAGTGGCTGGGCCCAGAGAAGCTGGGCCCAGAGCAGCCGGGTTGGGAGCAGCCAGGCCTAGAACAGCAGTAGCCAAGCCCGGAGCATCCAGGCTGGGAGCGGCCAGACTCAGAGCGGCCGGGCCCGGGGCAGCTGGGCCCAGAGCAGCCGGGTCTGGTGCAGCCAGGCCCAGAGCAGCAGCTGCCAGGCTGGGAGCAGCCAGGCCCGGAGCAGCTGGGTCTGGTGCGGCCAGGCCCGGAGCAGCGGCTGCCAGGCTGGGAGCGGCCAGGCCCGGAGCGGCCAGGCCCGGAGCAGCAGCAGCCAGGTCCAGAGCAACTAGGTCGGGAGCAGGAGTGACCAGACCCGGAGCAGCTGGTTGTGGAATGAACCAGAGCAACAGAGGCCAGGCCCGGAGCAGCTCGCTCCTCGCCTGCCCCTGCCCCACGGCTGCCTCTCAGACATGGCTGGAAACTTTTGTGAGAACTTGAGGGTCTGCTGAATCAAGTGATGAAGGCTTAGATCTGGATGTGTTGAGTTAGTATAGCGCTGGGGTGTTGATCTGTGAGTGCCTTGGGTGGGGCCTGGATGAGGCTGGTTGACCTATTTGGAAATGTCTTTTGTGTGAAATGTATCATTGGGCATGTGGTGGTATTATTGATATGAGAAAATGCTAAGTAACTGATTTACTATCTGAAAAAGGATTTACTCTCAGGGAAAAGGAGGGAGGAAGAGACTGAACATAAACTGTGCACCTATGGATGAGGACAATGGGGAATGGGGAGGGGGTGGAGGGTGGGGTGGGAACCTGGTGGAGGGGGGAAGAAATGAGGAACCTTTGTAACAATATGAACAATAAAGATTGATTTAAAAAAAATAGTTCTCCAGTTTTGTCATTAAGATCTCAGTTTCATCTCTGATTCATCATTACTCTGGCCATAGAGTGGTGGCTTCTTAAAGTGAAGTGTGGGCAGGTCTTCTCTCTTACTGCTTTCCATATGTGGGGTGTAGAGAAAATGATGATTCCTGCTCACAGGAGGAACTACATGTCAGTGGGGACAGTGCTGCTTCTTGGCCCATCCTGGCTGGTTGTTTGGTTCCTTTGATTACAAATGACAACCCTTCTCAAGAGCTAATTCTTCAGACAAGGGATCCTGTAAGCCTCTAGCTGCACATTTCCTACCCTCCATATCATGTCAGTGGACATTTCAATTCATTGTCTCTTGTTCTTTGAGCCCCTGTGTCCCTGCTTCAAGAGAAGCAACTTGCTCACAACTAGGACTTAAACCCCAGCTCACTTCTATGACACTGGCATTCACAAAGCCCCAGGGAAACTCCATATAAGTGATGGACATCCATATTGCCTTCAAACATTCCTGTTCCCAGCTTTATTCTCCTCTTTCTTATCTCCCCATGCCTCAGCAACAACAGTGCCTCTACTGGTTAAGTACTTCAGCAATTTCAGAACTGGGCAAAATTCCTCCATTTCTGCAATAGATGACTTAATTGAGGAAGGTGAAGCAATTGAGCATCCCTACTTGCAAAGATTAGGAAGAGGACAGTACAGTCTCCTCCTGAACCCTGCAGGGAGTGGAGAGGAAGGGATAATTTCTACCCAAGGTGCATCAGCCTTCTTTCCTCTCTTTATCCCCCCTTATACTCCCCAGGGGGGTGGGAATTATTAAATCACTCATGCTGAACAGCCCCCTCCTTGTAGGTTCCATAGTGGGGTCCCTGGGGCATTTCTCCAATCTTAAAAGATGAGGCACTTAAAGCCTCTCATTCTCCCCTGTAGGCTCCACATGCTGGAACCCAGGAATTCAAGATGACTCAATCCATACTAAACATCAGTTTAGTGTTACTAGACTAAAGGAAATGCTAAAAATAATCTGATATAGTTCAATCCATGTTAATGATTAAAATGAGTCACAGCAAACTAGAAAAAAAAGAGGGAACTTCTTTTCCTTGATAAAAGGTATCTATCAGCCAAAACCGGTTTGGCTCAGTGGTAGAGCATCGGTCTGCGGACTGAAAGGTCCCAGGTTCGATTCCGGTCAAGGGCATGTACATTGGTTGCGGGCATATCCCCGGTAGGGAGTGTGCAAGAGGCAGCTAGTCGATGTTTCTCCTCATCGACGTTTCTAGCTCTCTATATCTCTCCCTTCTTCTCTGTAGAAAATCAATAAAATATATTTTTTAAAAATAAAAAAAATAAAAGGTATCTATCAGACTTAAAACAAGCAATATTTTCAATGATGAAATATTGAAAGTATTCTCATTTATAAATTCAGGACCACCCAAAAAAACATAAATTTATCACTAAGGGTTTTCAATAATAAATAAGATCTCCTGATACCTTTAAAATATATATAAATGATTTTTAAGAAATGTAAATATCAAAATGGATAGGCAAAAAGTTCTGTCATTTGTAAATAGAATCTTATGCTTGTAAATTATAAGATAATCAATTATATTAAAAAATATTAGGAGATACATGAGAATCAAGAAAGATGGCTGAATATAGGGTCAATAAAAATAAATCAATAGTTTTCTTTTAAAACATCAATAATTAATTTAAATGTGATAAAAATCATAACAATAGCAAATAAAACCATAAAGTAAAAAATTAATAAGAAATGAAAAAAACATCAATTTTTGGAGGCTTAGACTATTGATCTATAAACAGGAAAAATATACTTCCTTCTTGCTCTTTTGAATTTTGGAGAAGGCTCAGTAATTTGTGAGCTGGGCCCTAAGCACATGTAGCAAATGACCAGATTAAAAATTGCCATTCATGAAAAAATGAGAAATATTTCTGTACATTCCCATCTGGCTTTGTGGGTTTTGATCCAAAGCTCTCTCTTGCCTAAGAAAGAATTATATGCGCTGAAGAAGAGCATTAGAAGATTTGAAAGTGGAAGAAGTAAGGACCTTTCTGAATGTGGGACACATATGTGGTTGCCTCCTCAAGCCAGTAGGGACATGATCCCATTCCCACGGAGCACTGCTATATGGTCCCACTCCTTGCACACCTGAGACTGGGGTGACTCACTGAGACCTGGGACAGAGCCATGACTAGGGAAAACATCCAGGTGGCTCAGTAGGAAATGAACACATGAAATCACCACCCAAAATGGATACATAGACGTAGAGGAGGAGTTAGTTTAATGCCAGCCACCAACACTGATGTTCTTCCAGTTGTTTTCTGTAACTCCTCATTCACATGTATAAACCAATGACTGGAGAGCAAGGTGCCCTCTACTCAACAAAGAAAGCATAACCTGAGATTGAATTTTCAATTTTTTATCTAAGAGGGGGCTCAGAGCCAGTTAAGTTGATTTATAAAAATATGGAAATGTGATGTGTCTTGGAACCAGAGCAATGGAAACTGATGTTAACACATTCATGATTTATTTAAATCATCTCTGTTCAGTAGAAGAGTAGGGTGGTTATGATGATGAGCTTCAGGTCCACGTAGATGGGTTTGAGTCCAGTCTCTGCCTCTTGCTCCATGTAATAAAACTCAAAAACATTTAACTTCTCTAAATGTCAGTGTCCTCAGACAGAAAGTAATGATGGTTCCATAGCAATGGGTAAATATTAAATAATATTTATTTGCTAAAATGCTTGTCAAGATGCTTGGTACATAGCCTGTGTTCAACAGATAGTCAATGGGGTGATGAGTGGTGTGAACACTTCATGAGATTTGAAGTTGTATGGAGATACTAGTATGTCCATCAGACATACTTGGGTTATGTCTAAGGTGGAGTGAAGATCTTCTCTAGAGGTCCAGGCTTGCTGCTTTTAGGTCAGGGAGTTGAGTTGGTACCCCAAGACTCAAGAAAGTGGATCATATATGCCAATCAACTATAGTGGGTTGGCCTTCATCATGCTGGCCTTCTGACCCCATGGGGAAACTGGCTCTCTGATCCTATGGGGAAACTGACCACTTGTGTCCTCAGAGGCCACAGACTGACAGGTAGTCCCCAAATTTGGAATATTCCAGAAGTCCACCTGTTTCCTTATGCTTTACCAGAACTGCTAATCAATGAGACTGGACAGGGAGTGGGCTGCAGAGAAAGAATAGAGGTAGCCAGGAAGCAGGCACCCTCTGTGTGATTTTGGAGAGATCTTCCATCCCAGGACCTCACTGTTACCACCTATAAATGAAGGAACTGGACAAGAGGAGGAAGAAAGAAGTCTCAATCTCTCAACAAAGGGCAAAGGTAGCAGTGGCTGCCTAGAGAGCAGTGCTGAGAGGGAGTGCCAGGGGGCATGTCAGACTGATTCGTGATCAAGGGGGAAGAGGGAGGACCTTAATGGGGAGTGGAGTGGCTAAGAATGCCTCCAACTTGAATAACCACAAATAAATGTTGTTGAAAAGGATATACAGGTGGATCTACCCACAGGTTGGTGATTGAAAGCTAGGTGGGACCCTATCTCTCCTGTGGCATTGATGCCTGCTCAAAACTCACAGATGGTCAGTCTGTATTGGTTGCAGCTCTTGTCATTCCACTGCCCATCTGTGTACATCTCCACACACTTTTCTTTGCCCCGACCCTTGGGCTCCCCGGGGTACCATTTGGTGTAATTTATAGGCTTGTCATCCAGGTAGTAGAAGTCTCCAGGGGTGGGGCCCTCGGTCAGGCCCAGGTAGGCGTAAGTGTTGTGCTTCTTCACGATGCTTGCAATGGCCTCATTCTCTTCTGGATTCTTCGGGACTGCAATTCCGCCGCCAACTCTGTTACAAGTCTCTTTAATGGCATCAAACTTGGCCGACTGCCCATTGGTGGCAAAGACCTTTTCTCCCACTATCAGCAAGGAACCCAGCAAACTGAGGACTGAGAGCAGAGGAATCTGGGTCAGGCCACTGGCCTCTTTGTCTCACTTGGGCTCTCTGCCTTTATACTCTCTCCAATCTCTCCACCTCTGCCTTTCTGTCTTCCCTCCGTCTTCCAATCCTAGTCTTTCTAAATTCTCCTCTGTGTTCTCACCATTCTGTTCATTCACTCATGCATTTAACAATTACTTATTAACTGTCTTATTCTGTGCCCCAAACTGCAATTTCTGGGATTCAATGGAAAACAAGATAGGCAGAGACCTTTTTTTCCCATGATGTAGGGAACTAATCTGTGTCTACCTCTGTCCCCTCTGGGCCATCAAAGACATCAAAAAGGGAAGCATCATTATTTTCCCCAAGACATGCATATCACAACTGTTTGTCAAGTTTCTAAGTTCTGGAGCCTGGGGCTGAGGATGAGGGGAACTTATGGGAGACCCTCTGTCCTGTGAGACCTTAAGCGGACCCTTACCTCCCTTTGACTGCTTGATTTGAAGACGGAGGTCGCGGAATTTGCTTTGGAGCTCCTCATCCTCAGAAGCTGGAAGCCCTATAGAGAAAACCCCATCCAGAATGAGGGCAAGCCAACAGCTGTGATACCAGCTGCAAGCCTGGCTTTCTTCCCTCTACTTGTCCATACCTACTGCCCAGGACCCAAGTCAAAAGGTTCCACTACACTGGAGTGTGCTTCCACACTCCCTATACACCTTTCCTTTCACACAGCCTTGCACCTGCAGAGCTCTCTCTACTCTCCTCTCCTGTCACAGCCTTTGATGGCTGTCTGCCCACCTCCATGGATTTTTCTGGTTTCTGGGCAGAGCCCCTCCCCAGGGCAGGTGTGGTTCTCTGTGCACTCTCCTGATGGACCTGGATTACTACTCAGCGCTTCGGACTTTCCCTCTGCATGTGGGGCTTCCAATCACACCATCTGCTTGGATCTTTACTCCACATATCCCCTACACCCTTCAGAATTCCCCTAGTGCCTCACCCCTAAGAAGTGCCCCCAGGACCACCCATTTCCCATACCCAACATCCTGTGCCTCCTCTATGGCAGCCGTGATACAACACCCATCGGTCCCTGCATTGTGGCCTATCCCCCACACACCCTTTTAATGTCTCTTCTCAATCTCAGATTCTTTTATTTAGGTTGAGCAATATGCCCTCCATGGTTCTGTCTGATCCCCATCATCCCTCATGTGACAATCGCATGGGCACTGTGTCCATGTTGCCACTGCCTGCCTTCCCCACCTTACTCACCTGGAGGGCCTCTTTCACCAGGTTCTCCTTTGTCTCCACGCTCACCAGTGGGGCCAGGTGGTCCTTCTGGCCCATCACGCCCGGGAAAGCCTGGCATTCCTCCAGGGGGGCCCGAGGGGCCTGCAGAGAGAAGGGGACATGGATGCATGGCATTGATCACACACAACAGGTTTGGACTCACCTGACGGGACCTTCATTATCAGCCAGGCTGAGTCATCTATCAGTGCATGGGCACTCTGAGGAGAGAGCCTCCAGGGCTGCTCCAGTCTAAGGGCCCTAGGAAACTCCCACCATGCCTCACCATCCAGCTGACCCTTAGGCCCCCTCCAGAGCCCCAAACACACTGGGCTCCTGAAAATAGTCACTGTCCCTCAGATAAGGCAGGGGTCTTCCAGTCTGTACCTGGAGGTCCGGGGTCTCCTTTGACACCATCTCTCCCATCTCTCCCATCTCTGCCTGGTGAGCCGTGGGATCCCGGAGTGCCAGGGATGCCCGGGCTTGCAGAACAAACATCCTTCACCTCACACTCGGTGCCAGAGACCACCATCAGGATGAAGGTGAGGGCCAACGGGCACAGCAACATGGCTCCTGCTCCAGCTGCTCCTCCTGCAGAAAGGAAGGGCTGTCAGCTACCTGAAGCATGTGCAAAGGTATTCCCCTCCCCTCACACCGCTGAGCCTCAGGGCCAGGTACAGACAGGATCATCTGGCATCTGACACTGACTCATGCCCAAGTTCTCTGCATGAGGTGGTGAGGTGCCTGGGCAAGTGAAGTACACAGTAGAGAGCTCTAGAAAGCCAGAGGCCCTCAGCTCTAATGGGGTCTCTGTTTGTACCTGCTGGGCGAACAGGGGGAAGTCTCTCTATCACTCTTCATTCAGCTGAAACTTCCGTGCCCTGGAGACAATCCTGCCCTGCCCTCCCAGGCTGCTGAGCAAAGCGATGTGGCCACTTACTCACTCCATCTGCCCCTGGTGCTTTCAGCTACCTTCTTCTTGGGGTCTAGCAGTGGTTCTCAACCTTCCTAATGCTGTGACCCTTTAATACAGTTCCTCATGTTATGGTGACTCCCAACCATAAAATTGTTTTCGTTGCTACTTCATAACTGTAATTTTGCTAATGTCATGAATCGTCATGTAAATACCTGTGTTTTCCGATGGTCTTAGGCGACCCTGCTAGTGGTTCTCAAGCTGTGGGTCGAGAACCACAGGTCGAGAACTGCTGCTGTAGAGCCTAAGACCATCGGAAAACACAGATATTTACATGACGATTCATTAGCAGTAGCAAAATTACAGTTATGAAGTAGCAACGAAAATAATGGAAGGGTCGCGGCATTAGGAAGGTTGAGAACCACTGGTCTAAGGGATAATGCTCCTGAGGATGAATGAAGATGACCAGTGTCCATGGCCTGGCCACTCCAAGATGGCCAATGATGAGGAGACCCCCTCCTACTCAGGTGACCTCTTCTTAGCAGTCTGTTCTCTGCTCCCTGTCAGGGTTCGCTGAGCTCCTGGTGGGAATGAGGAGCCCAGCAAGGTATGAGAAGGTGACTGCTGAGCTGGTTCCCACCGCCTGCGACCTTTGCCCTGGGCAACACAAGAGGATGGGGCTAAACTCACCCACAAGGGGCCCACGTGGATCTCTGCCTCCAGCTCAGCTTGGAGGGTGGACAGCAGCATTTATAAGGAGGTAGGTGAGCACCTTCCTCTCCTCCGGGGGAGGCTCCTGTCACAAGGGCCTCCGCCCCTGTGCGGGAAGCAGCCATCCTGTTTACACAGCACATTTCCTCAGGGGCACTCAGCCTGGAGGGGCACTTAGGAAGCCTGCGAAGAGCAACCGCAGGTCTGAAGAAGGGACACTCCCCTCCACCAGTTTCCACGCAGTGAGGACGAGGGCACTCACCCAGGGCCCGGAGAGGCACGTGGCAAGGAAGCCCCCCCCTCTGGCCGTGGCGCCCATCCTGGCTGGTGATACACCCACTGGCAAGCACCACCAGCCCCTGACTGCCCACCACCGGCAGAGAACATCCCAAGGCTGGGATCTTCCCAGGAGAGCAAGGGGGCAGCTCAGCCACCAGGGATCTGTCCATGGGGCCAGGCCGGCCCCAGAGCCTCCTCAGCTTGGAGGGATCCACGTGGTTCCAGGAGGTGCAGAGGCCCTGGCCCAAGCTGAGGGTGGTCAGGCTGGCCTGGAACTAACTGCCTGTCATGGGGTGTGCCCAGCACTGACCGCCCCCCCCCCCCCAGGCCTCCCCGCTCCTGCTTCCAGAGCCTGCGGCTGAGGAGGAGGGTGCATGGCTCAGAGTCACAGGTAGTGACTGTGGCATCACAGGTCACGCACGTCCCCTTGCTGCCCGCTGGCAGGTTCTGCTGTGGGGAGGCAGGCAGGGCCTGGAAGTCCCAGGAGAGCGGCAGCTTCTGCCTTTGGCCATGGGTGATGTCTGATAGCCTGCAAAGCTGACGTCTTTAAGTGGTGGAATCGTACACGAAGCCCTACTTGATGAAATCCTCTATTCAAACCACTTGATTAGGAAGAAATCTCAAATAGTAGAGTTGGTGAGATGGGAAACCAAGACAAGAAAACAGCTGAAATCAGTTTGACTCAGTGGATAGAGCATCAGCCTGCGGACTGAAAGGTCCTGGGTTTGATTCCGGTCAAGGGCATGTACCTGGGTTGTGGGCACATCCCCAGTAGGGGGTGTGCAAGAAGCAGCTGATCAACGATTCTCTCTTATCGATGTTTCTAACTCTCTATCCCTCTCCTTTCCTCTCTGTAAAAAAAATCAATAATATATATATATATATATATATTTAAAAAAAAAAAGACAAGAAAGCATTGCCATGCTGACTTGTAAGTGGTTTGAAAAAATCTCAAGGTCCTTGGGAAGAGCCGGAGGACTTCCGGGGAGTGGGAGCTAGGCTGATGGAACCCCTCCTAGGGACAGGAAGCCAGCCAGAGCCACTCAGAGTACTGAGTGCTTCCAGCTGCCCAGCAGCTGCCAGCCACGTGCCCTCAAGTGGGTGCCAGGCCAGGTGGATGGGGGACAGGCTGTGTCAGTGGGGAGCAGTTCCAGCAAAAGGACTTCAGCAGGGCTTTGGGGGAGACAGGCGGCTGCATAGGTGACCGACCAGGGAAAGACCTTCTAGGGCCAATTTCAAAGGGTCTGGAGAGGCAGCTGTGATGTCAGGGGCCCAGTGCTTGGTGAGGGAGGGTGTAGGTTCAGGAGCCAGATACAGCTGAGTTGCAATTTGGTGCTGCTATTTATTATCCAGGGGGCCTGGGTCAGATCATATAAACTCTCAGCCTTGGTTTACCCTTTTTAATTATTATTTTGAAGGAATATCAAACCTAGAGAAAAGTTGCAAGTACAGTACAGATTTTTTTTCTGAATCTGTTAGAATAGGTGGCCAATATGATCCTCCATCATGCCACAACTTTAGTTTATATTGCACATAAACGTTTGTTAATTAGTATGTTTTCCTATACAACAGCAATATAACCATCAAATCAACAAATTAGCATGATTCAGATATTATTATTTTTTAAAATATATTTTATTGAGTTTTTACAGAGAGGAAGAGAGGGGGATAGAGAGTTAGAAACATTGATTAGCTGCCTCCTGCACACCCCTCACTGGGGATGTGCCCACAACCAATGTACATGCCCTTGACTAGAATCGAACCTGGGACCTTTCAGTCCGAAGGCCAACGCTCTACCCACTGAGCCAAACCGGTTTTGGCTCAGATATTATTTTTATTAAAAAGTGATATAATATCATAGGGTATTTTATTTAAACATGTAAGTTACCTGTTTAATCATTGAAGTCGCTCACGTAGCTTAATGGCAATAAATAAACATGAGTCATACACAATTCTAATGAAATGACTATGCAATCAGCTACCTGGCCCTCCTCCTCCTTCGTCCTGGGTCCCACCCTCTCCCTCAGCAGCCTCTCTGAGGAGAACGCTGCAGGGCACAGAGCCAAGGCCACTTTCCATGGCTCTTCTCTTTGATCATCATTTTTATCTCGTCTGGAGTGCTCTGACTGTCCTTTCTGACACACAAAAGAAAGAAGAGAGAGAGAATAAGAAACAAAGAGAGAGAGAGAGAGAGAGAGAGAGAGAGAGAGAGAGAGAACATTACCCAGGTCTCCTGGAATCCACTTTAAATTCTCTGCCATAATATCCCTGCAGTCAGAAGGGTATGTTCATTTTAATTGTACCTAAAGACAAAGGGATGAACAAGGTAATTTACTGCTTATATGTGGATCAAGGTCTAATTCCAGGAATCTAGGGGAAAGCTCAACCACATGAAGGAAAAGAATTTGAGCCTGTTATTCCCAGAAACCATCAACACACTAAACACATGCATATTACACCGGTGCCTTTCCAAGGAATGGCATTTCATTAAAAACCATAATACAATAAATTTATTTCTGGCACCTGAAAAGGACAGTTTGTTTAACAATTCACGTTATTTGTTTTTCTCTTTTTTTTTTTTTTTTTTTTAACCAGCACAGCTTTCCCACCTTCCTCTCTGCCCTCAGTATGTTCAGTACTGGCCTGTGTGCTTTCCAAATGCCAGAGAGGCACATCATGTTTCAGGCATTCTAACCTTTATTGAAGTATAACTGACCTAGCACTGAAGTTTGAGTGTAGGTGTGGACTTGAGACACACATATGGTGAATGAGTCCCACAGAGGGTTAATACCTCATCATATCCAATAATTACCATTTCTTTTCTTGTGGTGAAAACATTTAAGATCTACTCAGTAATTTTCATATATAAGATCTACTCAGAAACTTAAACCCAAAAGTACATATTGGGGTGCTGTTAACTGTAATCACCATGCTGTACATTAGATCCCCAGGACCTGTTTATGTTTTAGCCGGATCTGTGCCATTTGACCACCACCTCCCATTTCTCCATCCAACCCCTAGTAACCACCAGTTTACTCTCCGGGTTTTTCAGATTCCATGTGTAAGTGATATGCACAGTATTTGTACTTTTCTATCTGACTTATTCCAGTTAGTATAATGACTTCAGGATCCACCCACATTGTTGCAAACAGCACGAGTGCTTTCTCCCTTGAGGCTGAATAATAGTCCATTATATATACTAGTGTATATACCCCACCTTTATCCGGGTGCACATAGACAGAGGTTGAGGCTGCTTCTATCTCTGGCTGTCAGGGAAATGCTGAAGTGGGAGTAGGCATCTGTTGGAGAATCTGTGTTCATTGCTTACTTGGACTGTAGGCTAATATAGCTGTCTGGGCAGTCCCTCACTCCCAGTCCTGCTGTCCTCAAGCCCATTTTTGGTGCATCAAATAATGTGATCATTCTCTTAAAAAAAAAAAAAAAAAACACAAGATAGGTCTGAATTCAAATATTCTTAGAGTTTTCTGTTTTCATCATGGAAAAAACAAAACCTTACTGTGTTCGCAAGGGCCTTGTTACCTGACCCTTCCACATCACCCCGCCTCATCCCCTCACGGAAGGCTTCATAGCAGATGGAACAAGAGAGAAGGACCTACACACAGGGCATGCGAGTTCCGAAGGGGGAGGGGCGGGGCAGGAGGAAGCCATCCACTGGATGCAGGAAGCAGCGTGCGC